ATATTACCCATGGAGTTCATTTGTGATAACCTCGAAAATGAAAGTCGATGCATTGTTTTTCAGTCCGGGAAAAATATAAACTGATAATAATGATTACATATATCGTTTATTTATGAGTTTTGATCTTAAACCTTTTGGTCCGCACATCAAAATTTATGAAAGTTTGTTTTGTATGATTAGTTCTGTATTCATTTAGTCGGTTAGTTACTATTTCAACATTTCCAACTGCATAAATACACTTAATCGAGTTCAACGATACAAACTGATCCATACTCAATTCAGTAATTCCCAATTTTCAGTTTAGGGGTTGTGGAGATTGTTAGGTTTTTGATTGAGATCATGAACCGATTGATGTTAGACCACCATTGAAAACCCGGAAGCACTGGACGGCCGTTTCGTCCTATTGTGGGATTTCCCAATTTTCTTATCACCTCAAAATCTGTCGTAGTATAGCAATCAACATCAAAATGGCAAGACTATAATTTATGGACGAACCAATCAGGTATAAGATAACAGGTCTCGGATTTTGGAGCGAAATTCACTCAACGATTTTTCGCTTAAATAGAGTTTTGGCATTATTTAAGAAAGATTAGTTCAGCGAATTCATTTTGAAAGCTGTACAATGGTAAATATATATACTTATTTTAACAGGACGATAATAATACTGATAATAAACCTGTTATACATGTTGACCGTGAGGTTAAATAAACAAAGTTATTAAAAAATTCTTTAAAAAACAAGGAAAGTTTATTAATCGTTTGATTGTTAATGGCTTAAGTATTTATCAAAGGATAGATAGGGAAATTATCATTGGAATTGGATAGCTCAGCATCATAAGATAAATGTTAAAATTGAGATGAAATGTAATGAGGATGATCGTGGAAACAAAATGAACCAGTTGGGGTTGGAAAATTTAAGAGGAAGATGGAGGGTGAAGCAGATGGTTGTAAAGGAAGAAGAGTATGAAGAAAGAGAAAAGTGTATAAGATATCAGGACCATGGTAAAAGAAGAGGTTGTACCAGTCGCTTTTTCACACACAATTCTTGTCTTTCCAGATGTGTGGCTAATGCTTCGGCAATGCAAAGAAGACTCAGTCTAATTGTTTTTGAGAGGCTTCTACTTACCTTGTAGATGACGTTGAATGCAGTCTGTCTTGATTGTGTGACCTGCGTTCACAAGATGTTCGATAGCTGAGCTTCTTATTGAGCCGCTTCCTCCTCTTTTTAGCCATGCCGGACAATGTTCTTGAGTTCTTTTGGATAAAGTACGCATCAAAAGACCTATATACCTAGCTCCACTTGAGCAGGTAAATTGATAAATGCACAATGAATTGGTCAGATGCGATAATTCATCTTTGAGATTATTGGTGAAGAATTCGTAATGTTCTTTTTAAAGAATCGGAAACTCTCATTTTTAGGGTGTGTTTGGCTCTGTCACCCTTGAATTCGATGGTCATGCATAAAGTTTTCTTTACTACTGTAGTTATCTGTGTTTTCGGTGCTTTCGGCTTCATGATCTTATCAATGAATATCGAAGGATATCCACTTTTATTAAGTATCTCCTCCAAGTGGCCCAATTCTTCATCTATGAAGTCGTGACTACAGATTCGACATATTCTTGTCGCGAGTGTTATTATTAAGTTTCTTTTTCATTGATAAGAACATAAAGCCTTCTTTTCTTCTTCCTCCTTTCTTCATACTCTTCTTCCTTTACAACCATCTGCTTCACCCTCCATCTTCCTCTTAAATTTTCCAACCCCAACTGGTTCATTTTGTTTCCACGATCATCCTCATTACATTTCATCTCAATTTCAACATTTATCTTATGATGCTGAGCTATCCAATTCCAATGATAATTTCCCTATCTATCCTTTGATAAATACTTAAGCCATTAACAATCAAACGATTAATAAACTTTCCTTGTTTTTTAAAGAATTTTTTAATAACTTTGTTTATTTAACCTCACGGTCAACATGTATAACAGTTTTATTATCAGTATTATTATCGTCCTGTTAAAATAAGTATATATATTTACCATTGTACAGCTTTCAAAATGAATTCGCTGAACTAATCTTTCTTAATTCTGACATTATAGCTGATGTCAGTTCGTGATGAAAACCCTAAATCTAATTCTAAATCTTAATCATAAACTGTAAATCATAATTCCAATTCCTCACACAGGTTTATAACCCTCATTTGATCCTGGTTATTAGGAGGACAGTCTCAAGGTCAGTCTGGTGTCGCTCAAAGGTCATCCATAAATTATAGTCTCACAACTATAGCTGTTAGTCATCACGATGATAAGAAACGAATCATAAAGAATAAATGATTTTACGTCTTTCAGACATTCAAAAGCATGATAGTGTCACATCAACTGAATGAACAATGAAGAGTTAATTCCAGCGTTCTCAATATTACTTAATGACATCGATTCTCCAGTAGCTCTTTCCTTCTCATTTGAAGACATGTTAGTATCATGGAAAGAGTTTAGTTTTAAAACCAGTAAAGGTATGTTAGGATGTAGAACTTGTTTATTTCATGAAACTTGAAGTACAATTAAAATTAATAATGTCACCTTGATGACAGCTTGAGTTTTGAACTACTTTATCGATTGGACTGTTTAAATATCTATTTTATGAACTAATCTATATGATTCACGACACTTCGTGTAACCGCAGAGATCCCCTTCACATTTATAACTTTTATTTTCTACTACATTTGTAAATAATCGATGTTCCATGTGACGAATGAAGGACTCATTTCAGTCATCAGCATTACCAATCTGTCCACACATCTATCTATCCATCTATCTATTAATCAGCAAGTATATGGTCAGTTTATCAAAGTTCAAATAACTTCACATAGTATTTGTTCTCATCAATCTTACGAAATAAAACATTTTCATATCCAACTAAACCACTCTCAACTGATCTCGACCTTTGACAGCAATCATAATAACATCATTCTTTCAAAAAGTTTCTCGTGAATACAATTTTCAGTTTAATATATCTACCTTTGTCGGCATTTCGTTACGGCGGATGTTAATAAATGAATTTTATAAGAAGGAAATCAATAAGGTACTTTGATCGTGCATTACGTTTCAAACTTTTGATCGAGAAAATCTATGAGAATGTAAAATGTGCGTGACAATTCCTTCACTTTTTCTTTACTTAAGGTAATGAATGATCAATCAATGAATAAACAGGAAGAAACGTACGAGTGAGTGACCAATAAATTTGAGGATAAGCGAACGAGACTGAGAATCAGTGAACTATTGAGACCGAGAAAATAATACCATCTGAGCACACAAACTTGCGATCGATCATTGTGGTGAAATAAATCGAATCGATTATGGTTTTCAGTTGTTAAGTGGTCTGAGTCCTATGGATTGCTGTTATAGTCAATGTGACATAACACATTCACATCATCATTGAATTCATGTGTGTACTAGATGCTTTAGTAACCTACTGAATACTATGTATTGTATTTAGACCTACCGATTTCAACAAGCGATAATATAGGTGTAAGACCCATTTTGAAGATTTTTTGTGTGGAAATGATTCCATGTTTACATATGTAATTTATTTCTATTGATTCGTTCAGTTGTATGTTCGTCAGTCGTTTTGATTCCATTCGAGATGGTGATATTTGTATTTTATTGTAGTTTTTGTTTTCTTTTCACCTTCACTGCGTTTCCAAGTTTCCAAATGAGTTATATTTATGTTGTTTAAGTTGATACTTAGTCTTGGTGGCAGGCATATTGATGTGTTCCCCCATTTCATTGTGTTGGAGCATTGCGTTTGCCAGATCTCTTACATAATTTATCAATTTGTTTAGTTATTGTAATTTAGATTTGACTATTGATTGAACAATTATTGATTAAATAACTGTCTGGTAATATTTGTTTAGTTAATAATATACATTTATACATATAATGAATTCTGGAATCGTCAATTACTCAATTACCTTGTTTTGGTTTCAACTGGGCAATAGCGTGTGTCTAAACCACATAGACAGTTATTCTTCATTCCAAACCTTAGTTCGGAATCGACAGTAGGAGCAGAATATTGAAAAGAAGAACATTTTCAGTAAATATGCCTTGAAATAACACTGACCAAACATTTATTATGCTAATAAATCCATCTAAGAGTGACAAGTGATATTATCATTTGTATGAGTATTTTAAACTCCTCCTGGTGTCCCTCTGGGGGCTACTGCCGGTTCTAAGCCCGGATAAAGGAGGAGGGTTGGGCATGCGGTTAGCGTCCCTATCCCGTAGAAAACTAACTCGCTAAAAAAACGCTAACCAGAAAAAATTATTCAAACCTTTTAAACTCTGCCCTGGGAGTCAGAAGGTCTTCATTTAGAAGAATTATGACGCCTCATGATGAAAGCCGAATTCCTTCGGAAGTTACGAGGCCGATGCCCCTTCTGACAACCAGAGCGACCATTTATTTAGGTACATGGAATGTTCGTACAATGTGAGACACCGGGAGAGCCTTCCAAATTGCTGCAGAAATGAGAAGATACAACCTAGAGGTACTTGGGATCAGTGAAACACATTGGACACAAGTTGGACAACAACGACTAACTACAGGAGAGCTCCTATTATACTCCGGCCATGAAGAATTAAATGCCCCACATACACAAGGAGTTGCATTAATGCTGTCCAAACAAGCACAAAATGCGCTTATAGGATGGGAATCTCATGGACCAAGGATCATCAAAGCCTCGTTCAAAACAAAGAAAGAGGGGATTTCAATGAACATCATCCAATGCTATGCGCCTACCAACGACTACAATGAAGACGCTAAAGATCAATCCTACAATAGGCTGCAGTCAATCGTCGAGGAGTGCCCAACAAAGGACCTGACCATTCTGATGGGAGATTTCAACGCCAAGGTTGGAACGGACAACACTGGATATGAAGACATCATGGGACGACACGGACTGGGAGAAAGAAACGAAAATGGTGAGAGATTTGCAAACCTATGTGCCTTCAATAAACTGGTCATAGGTGGCACCATATTCCCACATAAACGCATACACAAAACCACATGGACTTCACCGGATCACTCTACACAAAACCAAATCGACCATATTTGCATCAACAAAACGTTCAGGAGGACTATAGAGGACGTGAGAACCAAGAGAGGAGCTGATATAGCATCAGATCATCACTTGCTGGTGGCCAAGATGAAATTGAAACTAAAGAAGCACTGGACAACGGGGCGGACAATATCACAAAAGTTCAATACGGCCTTTCTTCAGGATACCAACAAACTCAACAAATTCAAGATAGTCCTCAGCAACAAGTTCCAGGCCTTTCATGATCTATTCAATGGAGAAGGAACTACTGTGGAGAGCAACTGGAGGGGGATCAAAGAGGCAATCACTTCAACATGTCATGAGGTCCTGGGTCACAAGAAGCACCATCACAAGGAATGGATCACTGTTGATACACTGGATAAGATTCAAGAAAGGAGGAACAAGAAGGCAGCAATCAATACCAGCTGAACAAGAGCAGAAAAAGCCAAGGCACAAGCTGAATACACAGAAGTAAACAAGCAAGTGAAGAGGAGCATCAGAACCAACAAACGTAAATATGTGGAAGATTTAGCAACGACGGCGGAAAAGGCTGCAAGAGAAGGAAACATGAGACAATTGTATGACACGACAAAGAAACTCTCTGGAAATCGCCGCAAACCAGAACGACCAGTGAAAAGCAAAGAAGGCAAGGTAATCACCAACATTCAAGAGCAACAAAACAGGTGGGTAGAACACTTCAAAGAACTCTTGAATCGACCAGCTCCACTGAACCCACCCAACATCGAAGCAGCACCCACGGACCTCCCAATCAATGTTGGCCCACCAACAATTGAAGAAATCAGCATGGCCATCAGACAAATCAAGAGTGGCAAAGCAGCAGGACCAGACAACATCCCAGCAGAGGCACTAAAAGCAGACGTAGCGGCAACTGCACGGATACTCCACATTCTCTTCAATACTATTTGGGATGAGGAACAAGTACCAACAGACTGGAAAGAAGGACTTCTGATCAAAATACCGAAGAAAGGCGATCTCAGCAACTGTGATAACTACAGGGGCATCACTCTTCTCTCAATACCAGGAAAAGTCTTCAACAGGGTATTGTTAAACAGGATGAAGGACTGTGTAGACGCCCAACTTCGTGGCCAACATGCAGGATTCCGTAAGGATAGATCGTGTACAGGCCAAATCGCAACTCTACGGATCATTGTGGAACAATCAATTGAATGGAATTCATCACTCTACATCAACTTCATTGACTACGAAAAGGTATTTTATAGCGTGGACAGAACAACACTATGAAAGATTCTTTGACACTACGGCGTGCCTCAGAAGATAGTCAATATCATACGGAATTCCTATGATGGATTAAACTGAAAAATTGTGCATGGAGGACAATTGACAGACTCGTTCGAGGTAAAGACCGGTGTCAGGCAAGGTTGCTTACTCTCACCCTTTCTCTTCCTCCTGGTGATCGACTGGATTATGAAGACATCAACGTCTGAAGGGAAGCGCGGGATACAATGGACATCTAAGATGCAGTTGGATGATCTAGACTTCGCAGACGATCTGGCCCTTCTATCCCAAACGCAACAACAGATGCAGGAGAAGACAAACAGTGTGGCAGCAGCCTCAGCAGCAATAGGTCTCAATATACACAAAGGGAAAAGCAGGATTCTCCGATACAACACAGGATGCACCAATCCAATCACAATTGACGGAGAAGATTTGGAAGATGTAGAAACCTTTACGTTTTTCGGCAGCATCATCGACGAATAGGGTGTATCTGATGAAGATGTGAAGGCGCGGATCGGCAAAGCAAGAGCAGCATATTTACAATTGAAGAACATCTGGAGCTCAAAGCAACTGTCAACCAACACCAAGGTAAGGATTTTCAATACAAATGTCAAGACAGTTCTACTATATGGGGCAGAAATCTGGAGAAATACGAAAGTCATCATCCAGAAAATACAGGTGTTTATTAACAATTGTCTACGCAAAATACTTCAGATCCATTGGCCGGACACTATTAGCAACAACGTACTGTGGGAGAGAACAAACCAGATCCCAGCGGAGGAAGAAATCAGAAAGAAGCTCTGGAAGTGGATAAGGCACACATTGAGGAAAGCACCGAACTGTCACAAGACAAGCACTCACATAGAATCCTGAATGTCAAAGGATTAGAGGAAGACCAAATAACACATTACGCCGAGAAATGGAAATAGACATGAGAAAAATGAACAAGAATTGGATGGAACTAGAAAAGAAGGCCCAGGACAGAGTGGGTTGGAGATTGCTGGTCGGCGGCCCATGCTCCATTGGGAGTAACAGGCGTAAGTAAGTAAGTAATGAGTATTTAAGCGGTATTGCAGGACGATTAAAGGTAATCGTCAACACGGAGTCCAGAAGATGGGAGTGAATTTATTTCGCAGACGAATGTTGATAAATTATTCATGAGTCTGGATAGTTCATTTGTTAAGCAATTCGAATGGAGAGTAAAGTTAAAATGAGACACTTCTATTTTTGATGAAGTATAATCAACGCGGTGATTGCAATTTACAAATGAACTGAGGTTTGACGATATGGATATTTCAATAACAATCATTCATATGATCGACCTGCAGTCAGATCCATGGCGATTAAAATCGAGAAGATTTATAACTCATGTGGGTTTTTTTGGTGTGGTTTCTTTTTTGTGATGGATGGTTTGATGTTAAAACTTTCATTGTTGTTTTGGAGAACGTCTCTAGCACAGACGTAAAGCAGATACAAAGCTTTGCAATTTCTTCAAATATCGCTTACAACGTATCTCCTTAACCACTAACTTGGCTGGTTTTTGTTAAACTTCATCTTGTCTTTATCCGAATATTTTCTCTAATTCCGTTTTCGTTCGTTCTAATCCACTTTCCTGTATTTTATTTCTTGAATTTTCTGAATTGTTGATGGATTGGATAGGTTTTGACGTGTTTGCTGAAGATTGATTGTCGTAACTGCCAAGCTTCTTGAAGTCACTTGGTATTCTTAGCGTTCGCAAACGTTTTCAGCCAGTGATACAGAATGCTGGATCACATCTGTGAAGGCAAAAGATAGTTCATTAACTTAAAGAAAACTACATGATTCACTTTATTTCCTTTTATACAATTTTCTCGCTTTCGTTTCTCTGTGATAAAGCTTTTGGACATTAATATATTCATACTTAAATAGGAAAATTTCGTACAATACATCTACACTATTTGTATTTGAATGTGGCAAAGCTTCAGATCTTTGCATATATGAGTTTTGAACTAACAACTAAATTAATAGATTGTAATTCTTCCTGTGAAAATAAATTACATTGTTGATTATGAAATAGAATTCTGCTTGGTATAAAGTGTCTGTGCTTGGAAATGGTATCATTGTGATTTCGTTGATGAAGATGCCACAAGTATTTGTATTTTCACTACACTTTAACCAGTAACACCTTTTCTAATCAAAACCTGTCCATGCAATCAAATCAGAAGTCAGAAGCGAAAAGTTTCGAAGATATATTTGATAGGCTATCAATATATCGATACATGACTGATCTAAACTAGCTAGAAGTTGACCACCGTGTTACCACTTGTGATCTCTTGCGCAAGCGTGATATAGTGCCTTCAGATATGTGAGTCCATTAAGACTATTGGAGTCAGCATAAAATGTCGAAGGCTTACAGAGCTATTGATTTCGGGGATTTGTTTACCGCTATATTTAGTTCTATCTGAATTGGATAGACTAACTGCGTAATTTTCACTCTTGTCACAACAAGAATAATTATCCACAACTCAGACTTAATTAATCCCTTTTCATCAGTCTACATATAAGAATTTATGTGTTTTGATAAGCTTGTTTGTGACAGGTTGTCTTTGCTGTATAAATTTAATCATATTCTGTATCTATCTTCATTGGTGAGCCTAAAGTGTGTGGTACACCAAATTGTAAACTGTGAGTCTGTTCCTTTTTGAATTCTGTAAATTATTGTCTTATATTAATGTTTTTATATACTGTGATATTTTTCCCGTGTTTTTGATTTCGATATATTTTTTATTCGTTCATTCTCGTACTTGATGTTGCACCATGACGGAACAGACAATGAAGGTACTTGAGCCAAAGACTATGTCCCTACCTTCGTTCCAACTATTGCCCTTCTGGCCAGACAACATTGAAGCCTGGTTCTACTACGCAAATGCCGACTTCTACGAGCAGGGCGTGAACGATGCACGTGCTTAATTCCGTGCAGTAGTCAAGGCACTACCGCGGGAATTCAACAGGTACGTACCACCTAGTATGTTTACTAGTGATATTTCTGAACCGTACGAAACCTTAAAGCGTTCTTTCCTTAAACGCAGAGATCTAATCGATCAGAAAAGGTTAGACCAACTCCATAATAACATCGACCTGCAACACGGCTCTGCGACAGACATGTTGGAAAGAGTGAGAGAGGTTATCGGCCAGAAAACCTTCGGAGATAGCCTATTCAAACAAATTTTCTTATCCAAACTTCCTCAACACGTGCAGGCTGTGCTGGTCTCGTTTCAAAATAATGCCTTAGACGAGCTGGCTGCATCTGCCGGCCACATTTTAGAAATCACGAAGTTTTTTAATGTCGAGGTTTTTTCAGTCAAATGAAAACTTCAAACGACCCAGAGTGACAACAGATTCATGTCATACACCTATGCGTTTTCTTAATTTTCGTAACGACCGTAAGCGATCACACACCCCACGTAGAAGCACTTCACGTAAGCGATCTGTTTCTAGACCACGAGAGACAGATAACCCCGACTGGTGTGGTATCATAACCAGTATGGAAAGTCTTCCAGAAATTGCGGAAAACCCTGCAATTTTCCCATCTCAAAACCGACTGACTCGAAAAACATCTCGGGAAACTTCCAAGCCGGCACGCGTTATTGGAAACTGTAGCCGGCGAACACAGCCGTCTGTTATACGTCACAGATGTGATAACGAGAGTTCGCTATGTCCTCGATACTAGCACGGAAGTTGGCGGTCTTCCTGCAAATTCTAAAGTCCGGCTTCGCGAATCAGATTTAAACCTGCTGGCGGCAAATGGAAAGCCTATCACCACATACAGTAAAAGGTACGTCTACCTTAACGTGGGTTTACGCAAACCCATACACTGGATCTTCTTTGTTGCAGATGTTTCTATGCCAATCATTGGTATAGACCTTCCACAACGGCATAATCTACCCATTGATACGGGCGAACGGAGGCTAGTAGATGGAAATACTAATTTGTCTGTTTGCGTAACTTCTTTTTCTAGTTGAAGCGCCCATTTGCATCGCAGTAGACGCATCCGACTCAGCGATCGGAGGAGTCTTACAGCAATGGGTTAGCAACTCTTGGTAACCGTTGGCATTTTTCTCTAGACGGTTGCTAGACACCGAGTCGAGGTACAGCACATTCGGTAGGGAACTCCTAGCTATGTATTGTGCTGTACGGCATTTTCAACACTACATCGAAGGTCGTGAATTAATCTTTTCACTGACCATAAACCGCTCACCTTCTCTCTAAGCCCTCCTTCAGACAAGTACTCACTACGTGAGTCTCGACAACTGGACTACATTTCGCAGTTTACTTCAGATATTCGACATATTTCTGGAGTAAACAATGTAGTTGCAAACGCCTTGTCTCGCATAACTTCCTTGAACAGTTTCCAAGGAATCGACCTTCTTAAACTCGCCGAGCTTCAAAAAGAAGACACTGATCTTCAGCATGAGTTATCGTCCACAACCCTTAAACTACGCATCAAACAGATGGGAACAGGTAAGGAAACCTTACTTTGAGACACATCTACAGGTAGGGATCGCCCAATCGTGCCGAAACGTTATCGACGCAACGTCTTCAATATGTTGCACAAACTTTCATATCCAGGTGTTCGTGCAACCATCAAGCTTATAGCAGAACGGTTTTGCTGGTCTGGGATGAATAAAGACATGAGGGAATGGGCAAGCTCCTGTGTAAGCTGCCAAAAATCTAAGGTTATCAAACACAATAAATGTCCTCCAGGCTCGTTTAAAACTCCCGATGCTCGTTTCGACCACGTTCATCTGGATTTGGTAGGACCTTTACCAGATTCAAATGGATACTCTTATCTCTTAACCTGCGTAGACCGTTTCACTCGATGGCCAGAGGCAGCACCTATCAAGGACATCACTTTTGAAACAGTGGCCCGTGCTTTCGTCCAACGATGGGTAGCAAAGTTCGGCTGCCCTTCAACCATCACTACAGGTCGTGGACGCCATTTGGAATCTGAACTTTTCCGTTGTCTGACTGCACTATTAGGAATCATTCACTTGCGAATGGCCGCCTACCATCCACAAGTAGACGGGTTGGTAGAAAGCTTTTGCCGACAACTAAACGCTTCACTATCAGCTGCAAACATTCCTCAGTAGACTGACGCTGTTCCAGTCATCTTACTAGGTAC